CCCTCCGGGGGCCTCATCTAGCCCCCGGGGTTGTATGTTTGATACCCCTGCTCTATTTGCTGCAGTTTAAATTCTCATTGGAAGGGGTGACCTCACTGTGTGCTGGCCCTGTAGTTGACTGTTCAGATTATTGCTGAGAGGCAACCATAGAGTGGGTGGTCAGATGGCTTCTTTTTATTTTCAAAAAATGTGTTTTGCATATGCACATAGCTGCTTATTCAAAGCACCACTCAGTTTTGACAGCTGAAGGAGGCTGCCTCCCCCTCTGAAAAAAACTCATCTTTTCAATTAATTCCTTCCCCCGCCTGTGTGTTGCTAAGCTGTAGGCAGCCGCCTGTGTGTTGCTAGGCTGTAGGCAGAGGAACCGGCATGAAAAAAGACAAAGGAGGCTTCTCAGCCTGCCCTTCCCTCTCCCCCTTTCTCACCTCAGAAGACAGCTGAAAGTGTGCTGGTGTGTACAAAGATGCGGTTATGCACACATTGCTGGAACCAAATGATCAAATGGAACCAAATGATCAGACTTCCCAACTGGATTGAGCTTGCACCAGGGGAGTTCAGACATCTGGAAATGCTGGGTGAAACCACTGATATCCATAAACACCAGACTTTCCCCTGACTACACCTGAATACTCCGCTTGCAAAATGGGGTGGAATGGGGTGGCGATGACTGGGGCACAGAAGGTAGATGTTGCTGCCTGATTATGCTCTTTCAATTCTCAAAAGTACCACAACAATATCAGTGCAAACTGCTTGTGTGACCACAGTCAAAATTTCCATCCACTCTGGACTGCATGGGTCCTGGGAAGACGAAAAAGGCTAAAAGGACCAGCATCTTTTCAAGTGGAACTGTTGAAGGATCAAATTATGAGACAGAGTCAAGATCCTGCTTGAAGAAGGGAAGATGAAACCCTTAGGGAGATACTGAGTAGAGGAGATGATTTGGAGAAAACCCAAAAGAAACAAATGATGACAACAAAAAACACATGAAGCAGTAGAGACCAAGGGTCCATCTCCATGAAGATCTCCAGAACCAACCAACCAACCAACCAACACTGAGAAAGGTCTGGAGACTCCTGGTAGTGGGGCCAAAGCCTCGGATCTCAAAAAAGGCATTGTCCAGCACAAGAATGGAAGGCATCCGGTCCCACACTCTGCCAGTGGCTGGGACGACCTGGAAACCCTACAGCCAGAGGTTTGAAGGACTATGAGGCTAATGAAAGGGGAAGGGATGTCGTAAAGTGCTATCAACGATGTAATATGAATGTTTTAATAAATAGATATTGGGGAATGATTTTAAAAGGTGCACTAGGTGAAGAGTTCATAGAAAGCACATTAGATAACCTTAGTAATTGTGAATCTGAAGGGTGGGGTTATATATATGCCAATATATGCCAATATATATGCCAATGTGTTCAGTAGACTTTACAGTATCCATCTTCTTTTCTTTCTTGAAACAAGGGGAAGATTTGCGAAATGTTGGGCATCTGCAGGCAGCTTGAATTCATCCACTTCACAGTGAGTTTCAGGAAGCCCCGGCTGGATCCAAGTCTCTCTGCCAAAGACCTGCTTTTCGATGGAGTTCCCGTCCGAGTTTACCAGCCTAAGGCACCATCTGCTGACTGGAGGAAAGGAATGGTTCTCTTCCATGGGGGAGCTGGCGTGGTTGGAAGTATCGGTGAGAGTTCAGAGAGTTCATATTGTGTCGTGGACAGATTTTCAACTTTGTGGGATTTGAGACAGTTTCATGTTTGTCATATTATTTTGGGGTTAGTAGAGAATGTAAGAAATTGCAAGCCTTCCATTTGGGGGAACTTCAGTACTAATGAAGAATTAAAGATACAAACAGAGGGAGACGCAGAGTCCTATGCGGAAACAGGAATGCAATTGAATGTTGTATTCCTGTTGGTCAGATTCGAATATTCCTGTATTTTTATTGTGCTTTTCCATTGTACAAGTAGGGTTGCCAGCTCTGGGTTGAGAAATACCTGGAGATTTGGAGGGGTGGAGTCGGAGGAGGTTGGGGTTTGCGGAAGGGAGGGACTTCAACGGGGAATAATACCATAGATTCCACCTTCAAAAATAGTCATTTTCTCCAGGTGAACTGATGTCTGTTGGCTGGAGATGAATTGTAATCCCAGGAGATCCCCAGCCAACACCTGGAGGTTGGGTGACCTTATGGACAATCCATACATATCAGTGAATGTATCCAAATCCCTTTCAACTGCCTCATGCTGTAATTTTCCTGTAAAATACCTGCATTTTAAATATTATTTCTGTATCAAGCACTCTGCAGTTTATATTACACACACAAACGTATCTAATTCTCAAAACCTGTGAAATTAAGCAGATTTTTTTTTTAAAGAAAATGCATCACCCTAATAAACCCTGATGCTGGGGAAGACTGAAGGTCAAAGAAGACGGGGAGGGCAAAGGATGAGATGGTTAGACAGTGTCACAGATGCAACGAACATGAAATTGAGCCAACTTCAGAGGACGGCGGAAGACAGGAAGGCTTGGCGTGATCTGGTCCATGGGGTCGTGAAGAGTCGGACTCGACTGTGCGACTGAACAACAAAATAAACCCAGGACTTGGTTTAAATGAATCAATAAATAAACTCATTTATCTAATGCTTTTCTAAGCACAGACCCAAATAAAGCTGTTTTCCACTGAGGTTGTAATTTCAAATTTTTAACATCAGAAAAATCTTGGCTACATTTTTAAAGTGTTTGTAGAATTGCCAAGGAGGCTGATGTAGTGCTTGTAGCTGTCAGGTAAGTGAATTCAACCAAGTATCGATAAACAAAAATGCACACTTGCATACACAATGGAACAAAGTTTCAGTCCAGTGGCACCTTTAAGACCAACAAGTTGAATTCTGGGTAGAAGCTTTCCTGTGCATGTACACTTCTTTATATATGCATACACAATGCTCATAATTCCAGCTCGATTTGTGGAGGGATTTGGTGGCCAGAAGGAAAGGAGATACAAAACAGTACACATTGTACGTGTGTATAAGGCACCCCTGTGTGAATGTAGTTACTTTTCTATGATCTTTTTCCTCCAAAGATCCCAGTGTTATGGTCAGTATGTCAGACTAGGAAACACACATACACACACACACGTCTCAGGAGTGCATCAGGAGATCTGACTAGCTTTGTAGCACAAAGATTAACGTACGACTGACGATCAGTTGTGTGTACCCAAGAAAATATTTTTAAACAATATGTTCCTTTTCAAAGGTATCCTACTAAACAGAGCTTCTGCCTGAAATGTTGAAGAGTTACTATTAGAGTTCCACGTGACCGCACTTCCTGATATTTTGTGGTTGGCTCCGCCTCTTGTGGAAGCCATTTTGTGATTTCGCCCACCATCCAGTGTCAGAATTTCAAAGGCTCCATAGGGTTGAAAAGGTTAGGGAGCCCTGGCCTAGCCTCTGCACCTCCCCCCCTCTCCCCCTTTTCTGTCGCTCTGTCCCTCCACCAATTCATCTGCCCATGCATTCATCAGCTTCCCACTCGGCATCAATTCCTCCATCCAATCCAATTCGCAAAGGAATCAAAGTAAACTAACCCTCTGCTTCTTTGTTATGGCTTTCTAGCTATGGCTTGTCTCCTGAGCACCCGTATCCCAGTCAGTACAAGCAATGCCTGGCAGCTACTGTACACTTCATGCGAAATGCGGAGGTCTATGGGGTAGATCCTTCTCAAATCATCATCTTTGGGGACAGTGCAGGAGGCAATTTCACTTCTGTCGTAGCCCAACAACTGACGAAGAGACGAGACCTCCCCAAACTACGGGCTCAAGCACTGATCTATGCTGGCGTTCAAGCAATGGACTTCAACCTGCCTTCCTACGTGCAGAATGCTACTATGCCGCTTTTGAGCCAGGAAACTGTGATAAAGTTTATCCTGCAGTATTTTATAAAGGACCCAGCTCTGAAAAGTGATATCCTGAAAGGCTCTCATGTGCCAGATCATTATAGGCTGAAATACCGAAAGTGGGTGAGTGCCGATAACATTCCCGAGAAATTTAAACGTGGTTACCGAGAGGTGCCTCTTGCTCCTTACAAGCCCGAGGTTTACAAACAGTTTCCAGAGCTGCTGGAAGAAACCTTTTCTTCCATTTTTGCTGAAGACCACATCATCAAGCAACTCCCCGAAACTTTCATTGTGACCTGCGAATACGACGTATTTCGAGACGACGGCCTGTTGTACAAGAAACGGCTGGAGGATTGTGGGGTGAAAGTCAGGTGGTTCCATGCTGAACAGGGGTTTCACGGGGTTCTGAACTTTTCCGACCTGGGCATTTTCACCTTTCCGGCTGGGGTAGAAATTGTGGACAGTATTATAGACTTTGTCAAAGGTTTGTGAGAGGTTTCCTTGTAACCTTTTGTGACAGCTAAAATAGGCGGCACTCCATGCTAGGCCTTCGACATGGAGAGTGGGTTGCCAGTCATCTAGTCCAACCCCCTGAACAACGCAAGAGATTCACAACTCCCCCCCACTCCCTAGTGACCCCCTGCTCTATGCACAGAGGAAGGCAAAAGGGCTCCAGGATCCCTGGGCCAGTCTGGCCTGGAGGAAAATTCTTTCCTGACCCCAAATTGGTGGTCAACATTACCCCAGGCATGTAAGAAAGGGCTATGAGAGCCAAGCTCTGGCTCAGCCTTTCCTGCTCTCCTTCTCACAATTTGCCTAAATTCTCAGTGGGAGGGTTGTGGAAGGCAGGGATATTTCTGGTGACACTAATCACTTACAAGCAACAATGTTTCCAGCAATTCCTAGAGTGTCCCTTTGTGACTCATACTGGAACAGTGGGAGGCTTCCTGCCATTGCAAGAGGTCAAAGAAAGGGAAAATGCCAGGAACAAACCATCAAAACACACTGATCCTCATTAAAAAGATTATTGTTATATTAATCTTAGCACCTTCATTATTATTCCAAGCCACCTATAATGTGTAAATGCTGTTTGAAGTATTATAATTCATTAGCTTAGATTTCCCGGGCTGTATGGCTGTGGTCATGGCATTGTAGAACCTGACGTTTTATCAGTAGCTGTGACTGGCATCCTCAGAGGTATAGCACAGAAAGATGCAGTACTCTCTGTGTCAAGGTGAGAACAAAATGATAGGCAGGTAATTTATATCTACTCGGGAAGATGGGGTAGGGCTGAGTCATTATCTTGTAGGACTTCCCCAGGCTGTGAACATGCTAATGGAGGAGCTTTCCTGAGGAGGCTCTATTGTATATGGATTGTTTCCTGAGGAGGTTCTTTTGAATGTGGGTCGGCTATTGAAATTCTAATCTTATCTGTAGTGCTATTGTCAAGTGTAGAGCCTTTTGTGTTTTTCAGGAGATCATGCCCTATGTATGCCTTCGACAACATATTATTTATGCCTTTGACAACATATTATAATTCACTTAAACTTCTCCTATTTGTGCCTTCGACAACATATTATAATTCACTTAAACGTCTCCTATAGCTGGTGGTAACAGCTTCCATATTAGTGTGCTCACAGGCACTAAGAAACCAGGATTTAAAGAGACAGTATACAGAACTACAAACTTGAGTGATATGTTCTGTACAACATCAAATTCTCTCAATGTACAAAATGAATACAAATTACAATTTACAAAATAAAAAACACCTTATCCACAAGTTATAAACTGTCCAAGTGCTGTGTGTGTAGTGGAATAGTCTCACATAAGCAATTCTGTGAGTTTCCTCCGAGTTGCAATAGTTGGACTTGCTCCACAAATTATACAAAAGCAGAAATCAAACAACCAATAGTGGAATGGTCTGAAGTATATATTTGCTCAGGGCTATTTTTGGGCAGGAACGCACAGGAACGGAGTGCCGGCTGGCTTCAGAGTTGACCAGGCCCACTACAGCCAAAACCTCTGTGTGTGTGTGGCTACAGAGGGAAGGCCTGGAGAGCAAGCCCCCCCCCCGGCGACTCTGAGGCGGACGGGTCAGGGGGCCTCCTGGAAGGATCGGGGAGGCATTTAAATGCTTCCCCATGCCTTTCCTGGCCTTCCCTTCCCTTCAAGGGGAGGCTTGCCCGGGCAAGCCAAGGGAAGGTATGGGGTGTAGCCTAATATGCTAATTAACTATGCTGCCAGCGGTGTGGCCTAATATGCTAATACATTTCTGCTGATGGGTGTGGCCTATTATGATAATGCGTTCCTGCTGGGCTTTTTCTACAAAAAAAGCCCTGCATTTGCTGATGGGACCAAAGCCTCCAGCAAAGAACAAGGTTCCTCAAAATGAATATTTTCAAATGAAACAATATATACTTCTCTGGTAAAGTCATGTTTTGAGTAGCTTCTTCAAGTCAAAGAAGAAAATTTCTCAAGGATCTGTATTATACAAAGTAAATATATAAGAAGAGTACACTTATACTAGTTTTGAATACCATCATAATTTATATTGTTTATGTGCAGGTACTCACCCCAACTTTCAATCTGTCTAAATGTAGCAACCAAGCTTGTCTCGGTTTTTATCACTGAAGCTAAGATTCTCATACTAAATGCTCTAAGAATTGGAATTAAATACATGAGCCCTAATTTGCTTAAAGTTGCAGTCCCACTGTTCCATGATTTAAAGTAATCACAACTTTTTAAATGCACGGTTTATCAATTTTTATAGTGAGCAATGACACAAAATATTAATTTTCCAGCAGTCTATTATTTTATTCACCCCCTTTATTAATAGAAAGTATTCTCCAGCTCATCCACTGGCTCCAATTATACCTAATTACTAAACAAGAATTACTTCCTATTCTGACTCCTATTACCTTGTGCCACCCATTGCATTTACTTCCATTTAGTTTCCTAACTACTCACATTAATTACAGTACATATATTAACATAACATTGGACATTCTTCAGTTAACTATTTGCTATTAAAACTACCAATTTATTCTTCAGAAACGCCAATCTCACCTAGAAAAGAAGACCAAATGGGGCTGCCTCTCATTCCTGGGACCGAGAACTTGGCGAAAAGGAACTCAGCCTTTCCTTCTTCTGTGAGAGAATTTACGGGGGGAGCACTCCCCCCTCTCTCTTCATTACGCACACTGTTTAAGGTTAAAACAACTTAAATGCCTTCCAAACCTTATACTATAAACTTTATCACTTGTGTATTATATACCGATTTAACAAAAGGCGTTGTTCAATTATAAGCTAAATTACAAATCATAGTTGCTTGCCATATTCCATATTACTGTTTAATTAACTAAATGATCAGAGTTACTTAAAATTGCTCCTTCAATTAAATCTTGAACATTTCACGTTTCTATGGGTTACCACATGACCGTTGTTAAAAATTTCTTACGGCTTTACACATGCAGCCAAAAGCTTTTTTCCTGATGCCTCGTCATGAGCTATGAAGGTTTTATTATTGAAATTAACACATATTTGTCCTAGAGCTAGCCAGCAAAATTTGATGTTATTTTCAGTTAGCTTAATAGCGACCTCCCTCAAACATCTCCTCATTGCTAATATCTCCAGGGAAAGACCTGCGTATAAATGAACAATTGTGTCCCCGAGCTATAAACCTTGTTTTTCTTTGGCGAGTTGAAACAGTTGTCTCTTTTGTCGTAAATCTTCAAACTCCACGAGGATGCCTGGCAATGCTCCAAAAGGAGTGGCTTTTGGCATGGGGAGACGATAAGCAGCTGTAATCACTGTTTGAGTTGAGTCTGTTATTCCCAGTAGAGATAGAATCCAGAGATTTAAACAGGTACGCAAATCTTCATTTGGTGTATAGATTATAGAGACACCTCTTTTTGCCCTTCTGTCTCTTAATTTAATGTCCTGCAGTATAATTTTGTTCTTTGCCTACATCTCAAAATCCTTGGCTGCTTTTAAATCACTTGCGAATTTTGTTGTTGTCTGTAGAGTCTCATCAGCTTTTCTTTCGGATTCTTTAATCGCTGCTGCAAGTTCTTCTATTTTCTTATTCATTGGTTCTACTATTGTTTTAAGTTAACCTACTTCTGTTTTTAAATGTCCAATCTCACCTTTTATTGAGTCAGTTCCTTTGCTGAACTCATTTTTCATTTCTGTGAGGACATGCATTATCATTGTTTGGAAACTGAGATCAGCTTCAGCTCCACCCGTCGCCATTCCCTCTGACGAAAGCAGTGAGGGCTCCAACTCTCCATCTGATTTGAATTCTTGTCTCTGTAGTGGTCTATATGGGTGGCTTTTGCTACCCTTCTTACCTCTGACTTTTCCCATCATTGACCTTGTGCCGTACATTTAAGTTCATGGAGTTTTCCCATAGCAATTCTTGTTTACCAAGTGGGAGTATCGGGAGGGAAGGCATGATACAGCCAACAAGAAGCTCTTCATTAATACTAGATCTTATATAAAAGGGAGAAAATTCATGTTCTGCTCAAATCCAAAATGTCAGAAAGTCCTCAAAGTAAATATCAACTAGGTTTCTTTCTGTAAGATAATCTGGTTAACATTCAGAGAATGCTAGGGCTGGGGTGTATGTTTATATATGACACAATATTTCATTCATCAGGGGAATGTCCTTTCTCTAAATAGTTTTCAACCATTGCTGCTTCTGTAATTTTTTCTCATATCCTGGAGCAGTGCTCAAGGATAAGGGTTTTAACAGCTCTGACAGGAATCCCAATGTAAAGCATCTGACAGGGGCAATAGATTAAATACACTACTTGTTAGGTGGAACATGTGGGAAAATGTCAAAAATTAATTTTAATACCCTTCAAAAAGCCCACAAAATCTTTGCCTTCCATTGCCATCCTGCAGGTGGTGCAATGTCCACATCTGTAGTGTCCTTTAGTATTAACCCCGATGTCTCCCCTACATGGTAACTAATATCTGATCTTATGTTTTTAATATTCCTTTCTCTGCAAAACCCAATCTTAGGTGGCTCCTCACAGAGTAGTATATGTGAAACTATGTGCCAGTGTGTATATCTTGACTATTTGCTCCATTTAGACATATTAGAAAATTGAAATGCACATTTATTTATTTATTTGTTATATTTCGATTTCTATCCTGCCTTGCCTGACAAGCAGGCTCAAGTTGGTGTACAATAATTAAAAGTACAATAAAAACAGATAAAATTCCAACAATAGTATATAAAGTGCAGATTAAGTACAATTAACAAAGTGCAGATGGCAACCATTGTAAGATGGCCCAGTATGACCAGAGCAGTATCCCTGGTAAAGTGCCAGTAATAGATGTTTTCAGTAGCGGCGGCTCCTAATCAAAGGCCTGGTGGAAGAGCTCCATTTTACAGGCCCTGCAGAACTGCGAGAGGTCCTGCAGGGCCCTGATGTCCTCTGGGAGCTCATTCCACCAGTGTGGAGCTGCCACTGAGAAGGCCCTGGATCTGGTGATGGCCAATCTGGCATCTTTTGGACCAGGGACAGTCAGGCGGTGTTAGGTCCCCAACCTCAGTGCTCTCTGGGGAACATATGGGGAAAGGCAGTCCCTCAGGTAGGCAGGACCACGGCCATATAGGGCTTTAAAG